GAACAGGAGGAAAGCAGCGGGGAAGGGCCTCAATCGGAGCCACACGATCAAAGCTCCCATTACAGAATCCAAGTCCTGAGAACTTTTGGCCAGCAAATTTTCCATGATTAGTAAAAGGAAAGAGAAACCTGATGAACTCAGTTCTCTAAGTAAAAAACCACGAAAGGTTAAACTGGGTACAAAACATTAGGAAGACGAAAACTTCTTTAATAATGAAATAATTTATTATTTGTTAACGGTTGAACAATACAGAAGTTTACATATACACAGCAAAGATTCTCTAAAACATGGAGTAGTTCTCAAAATGCATGTACTAACTGTAGTAAAAAGCACCATTCTCTATGTCTTGACACAGGATTTACATTGGCATCATATTTACATCAAGAAATAAACATCTGGAAACAGAAATTCACACTCTTGTCTGCTGCTCCCTGTTTAGGCTGTGTTTACTGTTAGGGTGATGGCCCCCAACATTGATGGTTGACAGCAACATTCCTAGAGCACCAATTCTAAGGACAGGGGTCAAGGCAAGCTTGGTTCTCTGGTGAAAGCTAAAATGAAGAAAGCCCTCTCAATCCTCCACAACCTCCAGACAGAATATAAAATCAAAATTTAAAATCTGGGTAAATCTTAGAAACAAGTGCTTTACTAATTCTTATTTTATGATTTTGAGAGAAGACAAAGATACTCAATTTCTTCAGCCATTCAATAGCTGATGATAACAGTCCCAGGCAATTATTTCTTCTTTCAGAAGATAGGGTAAGAAAATCATCCATGTAGTAAATTAATGAAAAAATCATGATAAATCACATATCATACCCCCCTGCCCCCATCCCCCAATATTTCCAAAAACAAAACATCCCACAGTCTACAGAGATCTGATCATGTAGAATGAGAAAAAACACCTCATCTAAAAGGGTCTTTGGGTCATCTTCTCCCAGGAAGGATTTTTAACATCAGGAGTAGCCAGCTACTGAAACCTACTGCATCCAAGAGTTAGACATACAAAAATAAAAAGACTGACATGCAGGAAATTGCTTTGCAACCTTTGACTTTCTGGTGTTCAACACACAGGGCAGGTAAAAGAGGAAGACAAAGACACTTGGGGAAACAAAGAAGAAAGAAAGGAGATTTGGGGGACTAAATGGATTATAAAGCACAATGAAAGTGGTATCCTAGCCAATTCAGTATGATATAAAAACCTAAGTTATGTGTCTGTATATACTTTTCAAAAGTAAGTTTTCTCTTTAAAGGATGGGGGAGAGGAAAAAGGAAGTCCACAAAATGCATTATTAAGTCCCAAGATATTGCTTGGCAGTTATTCTGAATATCACAATCCTACCCAGTTTATACTTTTTTCCCCCACACCCCAAGATTTGCTTTTGGCCACTTCAGGTACAGAGAAGAGACCCATAGGAAACCCAGGGAAGGACCCTTTGTTTCTTTTGGAAAAAAGTAGAGGTTAAAGGAGAATGCCCATCTTTAAAAAAAAAAATCCTCAAACCACTTAAGTGGCCAAGTGTAGGGTCAGGGCCTTCTTAGAGCTCAATTCTGAATCAACACTGAAATTATTTTAGCTTTGGGTTGACAGGAAGAAAAATCTAGGTCCTGCTCTAAAAGGTGACGCTCTTTGAATCACTAGCATAAGATATGTGACTAGAGAAATGAGCCGCAGTTACTATCAGCACCTTGAATTCCAGATCTCTGCTTAGCAAAAGAAACCAAAAACACCCTGGGTGCGTGCCCGCCATTCTAAGCCAACAGGCAGGGAAAGTTAGGTCTTCTGGGTGTTAGCAGAAGCACACATAGAAATTTTCTCACTGCATGAAATTAAACTGCACTACATACTCTTTATTTTCCCACTTGCATTGCAATGGTATCAGTAAGAGTGTAGATTTCTTCTTAGTTTCTTAAAACCAGTTTTCACATAAAAATATGCATGTGCCTATATTTACACACATCTATTATTTACGTACAACAGTCAAAGTCTTAAAGGCTGGGGTTTATATCTTTGCCCATCCCCTCCCCCCAACAACCCTAATAGAAAGGTTTTTCATTTTGCTTAAAAAATTAAAAAAAAAAAAAAAGAAAAACCAGAACCAAAAAGACTGTCTAGCTCTTAACAGTCATGCTGGTGGATAAGTGAATGGCAGGGCAAATTGGCGAATCAGGGCGGCTGATCAGCCACATGGGGAAGAGGATTAGCTGCCTTGGGCTGAGTTTGCTGGTCCTGAAGCTTACAGTTTTGGTTAGAGAGAGGCTTGTCTGGCACGCCGATTTGGTCTGCCTCGAGCTTTGAAAGTTGTGTCTAACCCTGGTGTCAGTTTATCACAAGTGAATAAAAAATATAGAGATCTATCAAGTTCCACATTTATATGCCATCAAATTGAAAAGGACCAGACAAACAGTGCAAAGGTCAAATAATTACTATTTTATATTGGGACAGTACATTTCATATTTCAACCAAAAGACAAAAATGCAGTTTAACTCAAAAGGCACAATTAAAACACAGAAAATAACGGCATCTCTCAGATGCCTTATTTCTAAATTAAACAAACAAAATACATGAGTTTTGTTCCCTTCCCTCCCTCAACACAAGCCCACAAGCTTTTCCCAAAGTCTTGAGTTTTCGATGCCATACAGCATCCAGCATCATGGACTTGTGAGGCGCTTGAAGGTAGCAATTAAAATGCTTTCGAGGTCTAGTGAATGGCATTCAAAAGGGACCTCAAAGTGCAGTTATATCTTTTTTCAAACATGTTACAGGCTGAGCTGGCTCTTTGAACACTATCACTCTGCTTAAATTCAGGAAGCAGGCTTTAAAAATGCAAAAGGCATACAAGTTGTATTTCAGTGCAAATCTTCAGCTGGTAATTGGAAAAGATTCCAACAATTAAAAAACAGAAAAAAGAAAGAAAAATCTTTTGTATCACCTGCCCCTCCCCCCACCCAAAGCTGAAATGAAGAGAAAAACAGAACAAAACAAAAATAGAAGAATTAGAGATGACTTTGGAATCATTTAGGAATCTACTACTTCCAATTAAAATTTTTTGAATACATTAAGAAATCATTTAAAAAGCAAAAATAAACACAAAGGTAATGTTTCAGACTGCTCTTCACGTCTAGAATGAGCTTCCGTGTGGAGTGCGTTTGAACTTTTAGTTGTGGGCAAGGAGGGGGCGCGGAGGAGGTGCGAGGCTGTGGTGGGGAGACCGCAGGCCAGCTGGGGGCACAGGCGGCCCCCACTACCAGTTCAGCCAGCGAGCCCTTAGGTTGCAGTGCGGCTGTAGATTTTAGGAATGTTCTCATCACGTTGTGACACACACTCTTGTTTCAGCGTCACAGTTATTACAAATGGTTCAAATTCAATGAAAAAGGTTCGCCAGAGGTTGAAAACATCGAGACCTCGAAAATATGAATGCAAAAATATTAAGGGGAAATGAACCAATTTTGTAGATACCTACATACAAAGTTTCTAGAACATCTATAAAAGCACAAAGTCGTAAGAATTTATTTTCCATTACATTAGTTTATATAAAATGAATAAATAGTATTTATAGATTTAATGTGTCTTATGTACATATACATGTGCTCTGTTTTAGCTTAAATAAAAATGCTACAAAGTGGGAGACCACTTAAGGGAGAAATCATAACCAGAAAGAAAAATCAGCCTTTAAACTATCAACCCAAAAGCCTCCATAAAGAAGTTTCCGGGTGTGTCCAAAAACAGTGAGGAGAGGGATTCTAGTAACACTGTACCATCCCCTCCTGTTCACCTGCAACAGAGAGTAGAAATGTGGACTTTTCCCCTTTCACTGATGATGGACACTAGCTCAGCTAGTGCCAAAGCTCAGTTATTGCTGAAAGTTACATAGGAAAACAGTTAAGGATTGGACCAAATGTCACTTATTCGGGAAAAAAAAAAAAGAGGCATAATCAGTTTGTATTAAGTGGGAAATGGAGATCTCATTTATCTCTGAGGTAGGAAAAAAAATGTTCCAGAGACAAGTAGCAAAACCAACTTGGAGGGGAAACGTGCCTTTGGAGAGCAGGACACAGCACGGACCCAGGGATAGCGCACAAAAATAGATTGTACCATGTGTTCATGAGAACAAATAACGTTGGAACTTTTATAAGCAAGGTGTCCGTCTGAAGGTGAGAAATACTGCTCCTGTCTGCACGTGGGTTGGGGCATTCACTCGGGGTGTGTGTACGTGTGTGTGTGTGTGTGTGTGTGTGTGTGTGTGTGTGTGTGTGAAGGGCATGTTTTCTGGAGGTATTCCTGACTCGTCACGGGTGGTGAGGGCCAGGGCTAAGTGCTCTTAAATGCCACTTTCAAAGCTTACTTTGGAGTTCTGAGATCAGGATCTCAACTTGAGAAGTTTGTTTCCTTCAGTTTCCTAAGCACAAGACACATTCGGACGTTTCTGCTAGGCATGTCACACAGGAAGTCAGAAAACGTTAAGGAAGGTCTAGAAGACCACACAGGACAGTAAATAAGAGGGGGAAACTGCCGAGATGTCAGAGGTGCTTATTCGGCCTCAAGAGTTCTTGGATGCTTTGAACTGATTGGAATGTACGGTCTCTCAGAGAGACTTGTGGAGAGAAACAGAGAAGCTAGAGGATGCAATCAGAAATCCACGATCCTGGTCGGCGTCCCCCAACTTCTTGCGGGGCTAAGCAGCATTCAGCCACCCCAGACTGAGCAACACGGAGTCAAGATGCCCCTGGGTGTCCTGGCTGCACTGACTGGCTCAGCGGCCAACTCAACCCCTTTCGAGATGGGGATCGGGGATTTAAAAAAAGGAAAAAGGAAAAAGAAAAAAACAGAAACCCACAATCCTAATCACTTCCTTGACAACTTTTAAACGCAGCTGCTCTTGGTGACGTGGTACACGGAAGCCGACATGCGAGGGGATTGTGGGCAGGTCCCATACGCTACCTAAATCGGAGCCGACAGGGAGGACCATCCGGGCGGCAGCCGAAGCGACCACGCTCTCCTAGAGACCAAGACGCGCCGCCTTGTGACTGTCCTGGAGCTTTATTCTCTTGACGCTGCAGCTGGAGTAGCCGTCGTCACTGCCCAGGCTTTGCATGCTTCCCCGCTCGTCCGAGTCGCTCACGCTGCTGCAGCTCCAGTCCAGGTCGCCCGTGAGATAGTCTGTGCTCTCGACGTCCACGTCGATCTCTTCTGTGGGGGCGAGACAGACCGCGGTGAGGGCCCGCTCTGGGGAAGACAAGCTCGGCTGCGGGGCCTGGCCGCCGAGGGACCGGGAGGCCGGCTCCTGCAGGTCACTACTTCTCTAAGTCAGGGGGCCTCTCGGTCCCCGCTCTGCTCGGGTGGGAGGGGGGGCGGGGGCGGGGGGACGCTCACCCCTGTCCGAGTCAGAGCGCTCGGAGGAGACGGTGGAGCCGGTGCTGTCCATCCGTATCCTCTCGATGCCCAGCTTCTCCAGCTGCCTCTTCAGGTGCCGCTGCTCTCGCTGCAGCTGGTCGATTTGGTGAATGGCTTTTCTGTCACAGTCTTCAAGTTTCTGCGGGTCGAAGGGGCAAGTTGTTGAAGGGCGTGGGCAGATTTCACAATCGGTGATGGCCCCGCACCTCCCTGCCTAGAGGTGTAATGTGCCAGTTTCCCACAGAAGCCGTCTGTCATGTCCCTTGTTGAGCTCCTCGCGGGGACAGGAAGCTGACTGGCTGCTGACCCCCCGTCTTCATCTGACTTGATCAGCGTCAGCGGCACGGTGGAACCTGCACCGTTGTGTGGATTCCGGGGTGAGCTGACACTCTGGCATCCGGCCCCCCTCAGCCACGAGAGTGAAAAGACTGGCGGGAACCCCCAACCTGGTCTCCCCTGTCTGTGGTGACGCCTCCCCCAACACCTACTCTCTGAGCAACTGTGTGTGACAGAAGCTTCAGAAACATACCTTTCCCTGCAAAGGTATGTTTATTCAAGTACGCATCCCAATTGCACTCGTGATTTTTTTGTGTCATGTCAAATCTCAATTAACTTTTGTCTGTTGGCAGGAATGATATTTCCTTTTGAAGTTCTCATTCCAAACTGTCCAAATAAGAGCTTAGAAAACACATTTTCATAGATCACTTTGTTTTCACAAATCTGTTCTCTAGTTTCTCAGATAATTCTTCAGATAATTATGAAGACTGTGTAATTGCGGTTGTTTTGCTCTAAACAGAGGTTCTTGCCCCACTGCTGCAGAACTGCCATGTATGCAGGCTACTAACTATAATTCAAGTGACATGTGTCCACTTGTGACTATGACTATAAAAACACGCTAAACGGTGATTTTGGCTCAGGAGTTACCCTTTGCTTTTCAAGACACATACTGTGTGCTGACTTTGTTTCAGATCCTCTGGGAGGTGCTGGGGATACAAGGTGAATACAAAGATCTGGTCCCATCCTTGTCTGTATCCTAACATAGTGGATGGAGACAAGTGAACAGTCACACAAACCATGGTCAGATGTCAACTGTGATGAGTCCTAAAGAGAGAGATCCAGCAGTAAGGACCATCTCTTAACAGGAAGAAGGCGACTCAGTCATGGAAGGTGTCCCTGCACCATGATACCTGTGCTGAGGTCTGAAGGATGACAAGAAGTTAACTAGGTGAAGAAGGGAGGGGAAGAGTGCACCAAGCAGAGGGAATAGCATGTGCAAAGGCCCTGCAGTGAGATAGCCTGACAAGGGCAAGGGACTGAGAGAAGGGCTGGGGGCGGGGGTGGGGGTGGGGGTGGGGGTGGAGAGGAGAGTGTCTGGCATGAGCTGCTGCTGCACAGGCAAGGGAGTGGGGAGGGGGCAGGTAAGGCAGGCCTGGTGACACAGTATGTCCTGAGCAGCCGTGGAACACTTTTACATGTGGTGACATGTTGATTTGAACTTTGGCAGGACTGACCTTGGGAAGCAGGGAGATTAGTTTGGAAGAGCCCTCTGAGGAGTCTGCTGCAGTTCATGATGGTGTTTATGGAAACAGAGCAGGCTGTGGCATATGTGAGTCTTGAAGGCATGTGGCTAAGGAGCAAGATGATATCAGGATCAAGGGTGACCCTGAATTTCTGGCTTGTACATCACATGGACAGCTGGATGGACAATACAGCTGGATGGACAATTTAACTTCTGGTTCTTGGGGGTGAGAATTACTCAGTTGGGTGCTGGACATGTCTGTGATTCGTCCAAGAGGTAGGTTGGAAGAGTTCAGCGGAGGGAACTGTCCTGGAGACAGTCTCTCATAACAACAAACAAACTCTCAGTGGGCAGTCAAGACAAAAAGGCACCTCAGGATGCACTTACCTTTATGTGCAATTTGGCTTTTGTTAATAAACTCAACGTAGTGTGTCGATTTGATTCTGGACCAAGTGGCACCAGCCCCTTTAACTTTTCCAGGCACAAGCGAAGGTGGGCCCGTCTACAAAAACAAGATCACAGAAGCACTTGAGACTTTCATAGCTGGCCAGAAGGCACCCAGGAGAACAAGCTCTAACAGAGTATGAAGTTGCCCAGGCCCACTGACGGCAAATGCCACCAGGGACTTCTGGCCAAGTGAACATCTTTTGAAATTAGGCAACTCTGATAAAAACCAAGGAGATGCAAAATCCATGGTTTTCTAAAGTTAAGTCTATAACACACATCAAAGGTAAACACTGATATCTATACACTATACATGTCAGTGAGAGAATCCTTTGAACCCATACCTCTCTTTCCCCTTTCAGGACCACTAAATCATGACAACTTTATCTTGCTGTATATAATATTTATCCTTGTGAATGACAAATGTGTATGGTTATTCGTTACAATTTATTTATTTATTTATTTTTTTAATCAGTGTATCTTTTTTTTTTTTTTTACATGAATTCGTTACAATTTTATTAATGATAGCAAAGATTGAAACAGCCCAACCCATCATCAATAGGGACTGGTCAAGTGAATTAGGGTGCACCCAGACAGTAGAGTAGTATGCAGCTATGAAAGACAATGAAAATATGCTCTATGCATTACGAGGAAAGAGCACTCAGATATGCTGTTAAGAAAAGAAAAGCAAGATACCAAACTATGCCTATAACATGCTAGCTTTGAGTACAAATGGAAGAAAAATAATTATCTATATTCATATCTTCTTGTGTGACATAAAGAAAGTCTGAAATGATACATAAGAAACTAGTAACAGCAACTGGGCAGAGAAGCATCAGGACTAGTCGGACAGGGACAAAGAAAGAGAGGGAATTTTTACTGAATAATTTGTTACAGGTTTTCGTTTTTCAGCCATTCAAAAAGTTAAATGCATTTTTTTTCAAAAATAAGGAAAAAGCCTATCAGTGGTATTGCTACACCAACAAGCATGCTGAGAGCTGGCAAGGACCACCTGTATGTCTTGGAGCAGAACAGAATGGGAGGAAGGCTGCCTGAGGCAGAAGCTGCAGACACTCACTGAAGAGACAGCATTTAGTACAGACCAGAAGCACAAGAGTCTCTAGAATTTTGGAAATGAATACTTCACTGAAACCCTGGTTTAGGCTTTAACCTGGAACCTAGCAGATTCTGTGAATGTAAGAAACAGCTGAGGTTCAGGGTTCTTGCTTCAGTGAACCTCCACCTCCTCAAAGCCTTCACAGGACATCCCAGTCCACAGGGCTTCCTCCTTTCCTCCTTTTACTTTTCATACTATTCATTGGGAAATTCACTGTTCTGCCTGAATTTTTTGGTATTTGTGATTTAACCATTCATTGCTAACTCCTTAGAAAGTCAGGATTACAACTTAACAATTGTTGGCTTCCCTTGATGCCTTCCCCTCTCATATATATGCTTAATACATGTTTGCTGCATGGATGGTGTCTTCTGTTCCACTGGACTAAGTTTCTCCGGGTTTGAATGGTTCTGAGCCCCCGCCTCATCTGCTTCTGAGACTCCTTCCTCATCTAGCTCTCGAGGTTGCCCTAAGCTCTCCAAGGACCCCTAAGCCCTGGTGTCCATTCCTGAGCTAAGAAGATGTACTGGTATAAATTCTGTACTATTTTATAAGACTTCTGCTTGCTCTGAAAACCTGCCCATGTGGAATGGCCACAAACAAAGACTCACATTAGAAGTTTGCTCCTTCAACTACTACATGAGGAGAAACACAAACACAGGACCTGTGTATAAAATGTACTTGTTCACCTCTTCATAAAAGAGCCATGAAAACAGATCCTACTATTAGAAACACTATGAAAAACTATGATTAGTCATATGTAGCTATCTAACTTATTCCCACTACAAAGTTTACACATTTTTTTAAAAGTTCAAAAATTAAAATTAGACATTTTTTTCAGCCTGCTCACTGCAAACACTGCATGATTCAGAACAGTGTCATATTAGTCCTTCTATGATGTGGGTTTATCTATAGATATGAGTATGTAAATTCTTAAGGAAGTTTGTTTTCTGATAAAAATAATAAAAGTCATCTTTCCATGCAGTGTCATTTCTAGTTATCCAGGGAGTCGGGCCCAGAAAGGACAATTTCACTCCCCAAGTGTGGGTGGCCGAAGAACACTCCCAGTTGTGAAACTTGAAATCAGCCATTTGACTGATTCAAGCTTAGAGTAATACATGTTCGTTCAGTATTTGCTGACCTAGTTTTATGAAAATAGGACCGCAGTGCTTGCTGGATTTTTGTAGAGATCCAAAGCCAGCTGGTGTCTCTGGAGTGCCTGCCTCGGCCTGCTACAGCGCCTCACTGCTCCAGCCTCACGGCTGCCCTGCCCACGTGCCGCACACACATCCGCAGGCTGCTGCCTGCACCCACCTCAGGGGAGGGATGAGGTGTGTGAGGAAGCTTCAGTTCCATCATAGAGCAGTGAAATTCAATTCTTGAGCCAGATGCAGAAAAGCAAACAGACCCCCCTGTAGCAGCTTCCACCAAGGGTCCTCGACCCCAAGACACACCCCTACCCCCAAGCTGGGACCCGGAATCCGTCAGCCAGCCATGAGCACCCATGGAGCGCCTAGATCTAAAACAAGTAGAACAAGCTCCTGTCTCAGCTCTCTGTCCTCAGTCCTGACCCCTCCCCTGCCCAGGGCTCTGGCCTTCGAGAAGGAGCCTACTGTCCCACCGTGAACCTGGCCTAACCCCCTCTTCCAGGAATTAGCAGGTTTGGTTGGCTACATCTCCTCAACAGGAAGCCACTCGACACCTCCATCTGACCCTTACTTGGGTCCCCTCTCATCACATATTCAGACAGACCTCTTCCTGTTGTCAAGAGCTGCCTCCCAGCTCCCCACCCCCGCCCCGCCACCAGCAGAAAAGAGTAGTCAAATCCTGGCCCCCTCCTGCCCCAACTGCTTCCTCTTTGCACTGATCCAACTGCTTTGTAAGTGATGGACTTTGACAAACCTCACCTGCTGACTCTTCAGAAATATTGTTCTCGTTATTGTGAATAGGTTGATATACCTTTGGTCTACAGTAGCACAGAGAAACTAGTCTTTGATCTGGATGCTCAGAGTCAAGTGTGGCCTATAACTAGTGATAATTAAACTAGATGCAAGCTACAGCTTCTCTTTGCTATGCTTTTTTTTTTTTTTAGTATCTCAAATTTTATTTTTGTTTTTAATTATTTTTATATTCTGAATGTGGCAGTCACTATACAACCAAATATTAGCGTAATGATTAAGGGTAAAGGTTTGGGACTCTGGCCGTGCCACTTATTTCCTGTGTGACCGTGGGCAGATTACTTAACTCCACGCAGCGTCCGTTTCCTCGTCAGTAGAGGAGGATGACAATGCGTCCCCGCAAGGCCTGTCGTGAGTGTTAACTGAGACGGCGTATGCGAGCCCAGACCAGGGTCTGACGGGAAGTGCTCTGTGTATGGTAGCAGTTATTCTCTCAATCCTAGCTTCCTTTGAGGAAGGATAATTGCTGGGAGCAAACACAGATAATTATAACCCTATCATATTCCTTTCAAAATCAACAGGGAACTCAGAGTGTCTCACTAGGTAAACAGAGGCTGTCTGGTTAAAATCCAGTTCACTCAACTCTTCCTTAAGGAAAACGGACATCTTTTGTCATTAAAAGATTTAGTGGAAAATCTAATCCATTTTCTATGGAGATACAGATCTTGCTTATGCCAAAGGTACTATTTTTTTTTTTTTAACATTTAAAAAATTAGCAGGGACTTTACAAAACAACCCATGTCAAAGGAAAGACTCGCTTGGGGCCACCCCCATTATGCGGAGGCAGGGCTGGAAGGGATTCCGAGGTGTGGAGGGATCCATCTAAAGCACATGAAGACTCCTGCCTACATCTCTAGTGCAAAGGCCAAAGGCAAGTAAAAATCGGGGCAAACATGTACTGACCTTGGAAATGCAAGTACATTTCCGGATGTGTTATCTATACCCAGAAAACCTAAAATATTTCATGTACGATAGCAAGAAGAAAGGAAAGCACGTAAGTACAGACTTAAAATAGTCTGGGAAGGCTCTCTGGGAAGAAAACTATAAAACTTTGCTGAGAGACATAAGAAAATCTGAATAAATGGAAAAAATAGCACATCCCTAGATATGAACCCTCAAAGTAAAAATATCAATGTTACCCAACTTTTTCTACAAATTTAACGTAATTCCAAGAGAAAAAAATCCCCACAGCATTCTTTTTAATGCTGGAAAATTAAACTTCATCTAGAAGAATAAAGAGACTGCCAAAATTCTTAGAAAAGAAGAATGAAGAGGACTGTGCTATACTGATCATTAAGTTGTATTACAAAGTATCAATAATTAAAAACAGAATATACTAATATAGGAAAAGGTGGACAAATCAAAGGAAGAGAAGAAAAAAATTCCCAGAATCAGACTTAGGAATAAATGTAAATTGAGCATATAATGGAGCTAACACTGAAAATCCTTGGAAAAGAACAGATTACTCCGAAAATAGCAGGGGAGTGGGGAAATAAATATCAAAAGACATTCTAAATATATTAAACATTTAAATATAAAGTATATTTGGATATGACTTTTTTCTGTTGTTAGTTTTCCTGAACTCATGTCAGCCACGAATTATGGAAAATTAAACCTGCAAGTGAATGAGGTCATCAGTGAAGTGGGCTCTGGTCTTTTGGGGGCACTTCCTGCCACTCAAGCTTGGCACTGACAGAAGGCACGTGGGTTCACCAGTGTGCTCTCAGACAATTCCGAATGCTGCCCTTTTTATTTCTGCTTCCAGACTCAAGCTTCTTTGATTCTATCCACACCTTCCTTGCTCAGGTGAGCAGATTTGTAAATTGATGGAAAGATGCAACAAAAAAAAGTCTCCAGGTAGAGATGATGCCGTTTGCAGACAGTGCTCCTGAATTTACTGTTATCCCTAAAGTTCTTCCTGACTTGTATGTAGCCAAGACCAGGAGGAATGGTACGAAAGCAGGTGTGCAGGCGTGTGTGTGAGTG